GCCCTTCCTCCCTCCCCCCCTCCCCCCCTCCCCCAGCGCTGCCGGGCCTGGCTGGCCCGAGTGGCTGTCACCCCGGACAGAGCCGCCGGGGTCAGCCGCTGTCCGGACGCCCTTGGGCAGCCGCGGAGCAGAGCCCGGGACTTCTCAGGCAGCGGGAGGGCGGCATCCTCCCCCGGGCCGGGGACTCCGTGGCTGGTTTCCGCTTCAGCGCCGGGAGAGGAGCAGGGGCTGTTTTTTCCGTTTCGGGCTCTTTGTCTCCCTACCCCGAGCTACCCTGAGCCTCAGTGACCTTCCTGCTTTGGGCCCAGGCTCCGTCCTCTCTTGGCTCCAGCCAAGGGAGTTCAGGGGCCCCGGAGAAAGGAGGGCGCCCTCCCCCGACCTCCACGGGCAGCTGGGGAAGGCAGACTAGCCCGGCCCAGGGCCTGCGGGCGTGCTGGCCGGCTTGACGGAGAGGAGGCCGCCTGCCCGGCGGCTCCGGCCTGGAGACTGGAGAAGCTCAGGGAGAGGGGAGGGTCCGCCTGGGTCTGGCCCCGGGTGAGACATCCGTGCCAGGAACAGGAGTCAGGGCCCGGTGGCGGAAGTGAATGCCCCAGGGAACAGGAACAACGACATGCATTGAGCGCCTATGGTATGCTAAGCCCTGCTTAGTGTTCACAATATCCGAGTGATTTTAGAACATGTGTCTACCTTGATCCAGTGAGGAAACAGGCTGGGACAGAGATCACACTGAGACTGCTGGAATCCAAACCCAGTCTTCTAGATTAAAGGCTGAACTCAGGGATCTGAGAGTGAGGTGGGAATGGAGGGACAGAGGCAGATAATAATAGTAGAACCATAATATTCTGAACTGCAGGAGGACCTTGGAAGTCGTCTCCGCCATCCTTATTTTCCAGATGAGGACACTGAGTCTCGTAGGGACTAAGCTGCTTCACCAGGGTCTTGTGCCAGTTGGTGAGGTGTCCACTGCCCCCAACATGCATCCTGGTGCCTGGAGAGCAGCTTTGCAAACACTCCCTTCCTGGGCCAGGAGGCTGTGGATCGCCCCTGGAGTCCAAGCCTTCCTGTGCTCCTCTGCCTTCTGCCCCCTCCCCTGGGAGCAGCAGAGTGGGATCCCTTCTGTGGACCTGAGACAGAAGGTATGGGCCAGTAACCACAGCCCTGACTTGCCTCTCGTTCCTTCATGCTTGGGCCTCAAGCCCTGCCTCAGTTCTTTGCCCTAGGCCTTGCTGAGTCCTCAGGGCCAGCACTGTGCCAGGCACGTGGCAGGCCGCCATGTTTGACATGTGAACAACTAAATGGTAGGAGGACACCTGTCCTCTGTGTAGGCACCCCAGGCGCAAGGTGGGTCCTCCCAGCCACTCCTGTCACTCTGCCGACAGTCCCTTTGTTCTTCCCTCTCCACAGGCAAAGAACAGAAGGAGACCAACATCGAATCCATGAAAATGGAGGCAAGTGTTTTCCTCATTCCCCAGGGGCTCTGTGGACCTGATTCTAGAAACTCTGGCCCAGCTGTGGCGAGTGTATGTGAGGGGGTGTGGAGGGCGGGCCCTGCCCCGCCCCCTCCTTACACATCCCTTCGTCAGGAGAGGAAGTGGGTGTGGAGGTTGGAAGTCCCCCACCGAGGCAGCCAGCTCGTCCCCCTCCAGAGATCAGGCACCTCCCCTCGTGGTCTGAGTCCATGCGCCCCACATATCCCCCACTTCTGTAGCCCGCACAGGGCGCCCCGCACTCCCAGGGGTGCTGTCTCTGGCCAGGAGCCAATGTGCACATTTAGTTTGAGGTGGGTGCCTCCTCAGTTTCCCCTGCAGGGGGAGTACACCCTGCAGTGCCCACCTTAATACCTGTCTGTCTCTCTGTTGTCTTTCTGTCCTAGGGCTCCCGGGGCCGGCTGCGGGGTGGCTTGGGCTGGGAGTCCAGCCTCCGCCAGCGGCCCATGCCGCGGCTCACCTTCCAGGCGGGGGACCCCTACTACATCAGCAAGCGCAAGCGGGACGAATGGCTGGCACGCTGGAAAAGGGAGGTGAGGTGCCTTCTGGCCTGGGCCCCAGCCTGTCCTGTAGAACCGGAAAACCCAGTTAGATTCAGTCGCCCTCTAGGGCCGTTGTCAGGCCCTGCTGGGGCCTCAGTTTCCCTTTCAGGCTAACTCCTAGAACTTACAGGGAACCATTTGATCCCTAGGGAATGATGGGTTCATTTGCTCTTTCAACGAGTGTTTATTGAACACTTACTGTGTACCCAGCAGTGTACTAGACTCTGTGCATGTATGGTTCCTGCCCTCATAGAGCTGACATTCTAATGGGGGAGATGGACAGAAAACAAAGAAACAAGGGGCTGAAATAGAAGATAGCAGAGGCATGCTTTAGGTGGGGTATTCAAGACAGGCTTCTTGCAGGAGTTGGCATTTCAGTTAAGATCTGAAGGAAGTGAAGAGCTGGCTCTGTGAGGAATGGGGTAGGGGAGAGTGTTCTAGGCAGTGGAAACAGCACTCTAAGGCCTGACATGTTTGACTGGAGAAGCAAGCAGGGGTCCAACCGTACAGGGCCTTGCCGTTCTGGCCAGAAGCTGTCTTGCTTCTGAGAATACTGGGCAGCCATGGTAGGTTTCTGTGCACAGGAACGAGTTGATGTGGACTCAGGTGGCAGCAATGGAGACAGGACAGCTTCAGGATGTCTTTTGGAGCAATGGGAGGGATGGGGGGACTGGGGCACTTGAGAACTCCTGGGGGTCTGGCCTGAACACCTGGGAGTCTGACCTGAACACGCAGTGTTGGTTGTGCCTTTTAATCAAGGGAGAGGAGGAGGTTTGTGACGGGTGGGACCGAGAGAGTTCAGCGAGAGGTGCTGAGGGGCCTTGGGCTGAGGGCCTGGGGCCTGGGGAGGTCCAGGCTGCAGATATGAAGGTGGGGGCCAGAGCAGAACCTTGGCATTTAAGTCAGCAGGAACTGGGAGCTCACCCAGGAGAGAGGGAAGGCAAGTCCCAAGATCACTTACTGACCACGTAGTGAGGAGGAGCAGCAGGCAGCGGGGACTGAGAAGGAACATCTAAGAAGAGGCCAGGGAGGACAGCAGGAAAGAAGGGGTCTGGGGAGGCACAAGGCTTTCCCAAGAGTGACTGCCCAGCTCCGTGGGAAGTTGTATTCTCTGAGATGTGCCACAGCACTGGACAACCTGGAAGGAGCTGGTGATTTTTCAGAGGGGCTTCTGTGGGCGTGGGGGAGGGGGACAGCCACAAAGAGCAGTGAGGAAACAGAGGCTGAAAGACCAAGGAGGGAAGTCCATTCACTGAGCACAATGTGTCGGGCTGCCTTCTTGTATGCTTGACAGTAGAGAAAAGGGGTGCAAAAAGAAAGGGGTAGTGACCTAGTTGCACAGAAGGGTGAGGAGTCTGCCGCCACATGGGCCTTCGCCTTAGCTCTGGGTTCATGTTCACCCCAGGCCTCTAGAGGAAGCCATCTCCATGGGTCATTGTGTGAGGGCTTGCTCTAGGGAAAATGCAAAACTGGGTGGGGATTCTGGCTACCGGATTGTTCCAGTTCCTTTGGGAATCCAGGAAGGCAGGGTGACTCCTGTGGAAGAGCCTAGAGAGAGAGCAGTCTGTCGGAGGTCTGGGAGAAGAGAGGCTCTTACCTCTGGGTGTTGAAGTGTTATATTTGGGATGGAAGTTCAGGAACAGAGCTGTTCTCTCCATCTGTGAGTCACTCTGCTCCGGGGCCTCCTGGAACCTGGAGAGAGGGGCTTTGCTTTGTAACCCCTTGTTACGTCCTGTTTCTGCTCTCACTCAGTCCTAGGGCAGAGAGCTTAGACGTTAGGACTTTAGACCTGGAAGAGATCTTGGAAGTTGTATGATTTCCCAGCTGTACTCCCTTGAAGAAGCAACATGGAGGCCTGCCCTCAGTGGCAGTGCCAAAAAGAGTCTTTTCTCCGACTCATAGGAAAAATTAAGATCACAGAGACATTTTCTCAGTATAAGTTTTCTGCTAGAATTTACAAGGCTTTGAAAAGTATGAACATTTTCTAACATATGCAGAAGTACAGAAAGTAGTATGATGAACCCATGGACCTATCACCCAGTTCCAACAATTATCAAAAGATTTTTTAGTAAATCTTCAACCCTTGGAATATGGTTCTCCACCCCCAACCAGTGAAGGTGGCAGTTAGCACTCACAGGAAAACTAAAGAAGGTTGACTGAATGTAAGATATTTTACACACATGTGACTTGTGGTGTAGAGACCTCCAAACAAATTGTTTTTTTTTTGAGTTGGGAGTCTCACTCTGTCACCTCAACCTGCTGGGCTCTGGCGATCCTTCCGCCTCAGCCTTCCGAGTAGCTGGAACTACAGGTGTGCACTACCATACCCGGCTCATTTTTGATTTATTGTAGAGATGAGGGCTTGCCAAGTTGCCCAGGCGGGTCTCGAACCCGCGGGCTCAGGCAATCCACTCTCCTCCCAAAGGCGCGGGATTACAGGCTGAGCCACCAAGCCCGGCTCAAAATACATATTTTGCTAGTAAAATTGTTCCTTATTCATGTGCTATAATTGGCCAGGTGCAGTGGCTCACGCTTGTAATTCCAGCACTTTGGGAGACTGAGGCAGAAGGATCACTTGAGGCCAGAAGTTTGAGACCAGCCTGGATAACATAGTGAGACCCTGTATCTACAAAAATAAAAAAATTAGCCAGGCATTATGGCACTTGTCTGTAGTCCCAGCTACGTAGCTACTTGGGAGGCTGAGGCAGGAGATTTACTGGGCCCAGGAGGTTGAGGCTCCCTCAAGATATGATCATACCACTGCATTCCAGCCTGGGCAACAGAGCAAGACCCCCCCCCCCCCCCCCCTGAACCCCTCCCTGCCGCCCCAGGAAAAAAAAAAACTTAACAACATATGCTATAATTAAAGATGTCTGTGAAGAATTCCTTAGCTTCCCGTACAAGTTTTAGAACAACTGATTCCCTTATTTTCTGACTAGGGGCCTGGAGTTACAGTTTTGTGACTGGCCACAAGCTCACATAGCAAACCGGGAACAGGACTGGAATGGAATTCGAATTTAGGCTTCCAAATCCCATGTGGGCCCTGGCCCCTGGATATCGTGTGCTCTCCTCTTGAGCTATGCGGGGTCTTGGGAAGGGCTAGCTACAGGCATGGAGAATGCCAGGAAACACAGGTAGCTGGCTTTCAAGAGCCCTGAGTCCCTGTCAGCTTCAAGGGTGTAACCATTGCTGTTCGGCCTGTTTTTCTAAGTGGCGTAGCAAGAGTACAGAGACTCGTCCTTTTCTCTCAGACTCGTCTTAGTTCTTTGGCAGTTGACGCTTTCTTCTGAAACTGCCTCCCTAGACCTTTCCGACATCCCTATGGGCTTTTCCCCACTTCCTTCAGCTGTGGTTCCCAGCAGTGTCCTCTGCCCATAATTCCCAGCTCAACCCACACCCTCTGCCAGTTCTGCTCCACATACCACTTATCTGCTCTCTTAGATCCAGCTGTCTCTCTTCCTGAGGAACCTCCCAGCCTTCAGTGCTCAGCTCCAGCCGTTTCCCAGGCAGTGCCACTTGAAGGCCCAGCCAGCTCTTCCTAACCTCAGAATGCAACACCTGCTCTCTAAAACTTCATTTAGGGCACCTGTACTGAACCAACTACCAGAACCCTTCATGTCTGAGCGCCATGTTTAGATATGGGGCTTCCAGAAACATCGAGGGTTCCCAGCTATCCCATGATAGGGCAAAGGGTTCCTAGCACCTGCAAGAAGAGTACTGCCCTGAGCAGGGGCTTAGACTAATTCTGCCTGAGACATCCACGCGTCAGCAAGAGGTGGTTTCTGGCTTTTGAAGGATGAGCTGTAATTTAGGAAGGGGAGAGGAAAGGCACCCCAGAAAGATGTGTGTAGCATGTGCAAAGGTCCTGTAGCACAAGACAGTGCGACCTCTTCACGATTGGAAGTTTGATGTGGTGGAGTGTGGGGTACAGGCAGAGAGTTGCAGGGGTGTGGTGGGAAGGTGGGGTAGGGCCAGGACAAGCCTGACGGGCTTGTGTGCCCTGCTGCCAAGTTGCCACCAGACCCCAGCCTGCACCTACCCCTTCTCCCAATCTGTGTGCCCCACTTGGGTGGCTTCTTCCCTCAGAATGTACTCCCCTCCAGCAGCCTAATTTCCTTTTACTTGACCACCCTTGTCAATGAGACTGTAGTTAATGAGCGCAGCCTATTCTTGATTTTTCTGTTGACCTAGATGACTTACCTCCTGGCTCCAATTTTAAGAATTTGCTGATTTTAGGCTTTTCCTGCCTCCAAATTTAAGAAGACTTGGAATGAATGACATTTAACAGAAGTGGATGGGGGAAATGGGACAGTCCCTCCATCCCTGAAGCCAAAGTGGGAGTTCCTGCTGGAGCTGGAAACTGCTGTCTTCTGTCTGTTCCATCTCCTATTCCTGTTCCTTCACCTGCTTACTAGTTATCTAAGGACTAAGCTCTGCTTTAACATGACCAGGCCCTGCTCTAGAACCTACAGTGGTTTCCCATTGTCTCCCCCATCATGTCAGATGACCCCTGGCTGCTTCTCAAGGCTTCAGCCCTGTGACCTCCACGGTCAACCCACACCACGTGACCACAGTCCTCTAACAGGAGGGTCCCTATGAGGGACAGTCTCCCCTTTATTCTTGCCATACTCCTTCCTTCCTCTCTGCCTTTGTTTCTGCTGTGCTTCCCCTATCTGTCCTTCAGAGTTGAGGCCAAGAGCTGCTGCCTCTTCCAGAAGCTCTTCAAGATTTTTCCAGTTTACACTGACCTCTTCCCTTCTTTGAACCCCTGTAGCCCTTGCTGTTAATATAGTTGGAATTTAGCCGGGCTTGGTGGCTCAGCCTGTAATCCCGCACCTTTGGGAGGCTGAGGTGAGTGGATTGCCTGAGCCCACGGGTTCGAGACCCACCCGGGCAGCAAGACCTCATCTCTGCAATCAATCAAAAAATCAGCTGGGCGTGGTGGCGCATGCCTATAATTCCGCCTACTTGGAAGGCTGAGGTGGAAGGAT